GCCGTCGTCATTGCCGCCGTCGTCATCGCCGCCGCAGGGCGAGTCTCGGCTTCAAGTAAGAACAGGGCACGAGAGAGAGTTGTATCTAGCAGGGGAAGCGTGGGTGAATACGTCGAGCCACTGAGACAATGGAGGAGGATAGGAAACAGCAATCGTTTAGGTACATAACAAGGAAAGGAAGGGGGGGAATGGCGAATCGTGCTACAAAATAAGCACACTACTCGCCTCCTCCTGTCCCTCCACGCACAACAATATACAGTGCGCACGTGTTTCTTACATCCCGTTAGCCACCCGGCCTTCCTTCTGAGAGCGCGTAATTTCGACAGCGCGGGTGCAACACAAGAAAAACGACTTTGGACCGGTTTCGATATTCAGTGTCTCACCAGCAAAGTCAGACTTGCGTGAAGCGATGCTGGTGAACATCTCTCCGTAGATGTGGGTCCCTAGTCCGACTACATAGCCACAATCACCGTGCGTCGTGGATCTTCGGCCATGGTGGGCGAGCAAAGCAGAGGACGACGCCAAATCAACCTACTGAGAAGCCGGCAACGCAGCTGACGAATCCCCGGATTCCACTGCCGAATCCGAGCAAGCAGTGTGCCCTCGCCGTATGGGCTCCGGGGGTTTACACCGACTCTTTGCCGTGCCAAGATCTATCACCAAACCGCGATTTTCTGGTTGCACAAGATTTCTAAATCTGGCTCAAAGACGGGGGGGGCTAATGACTCGATCATTGTGCGTGGCGTCAGCAGCACGGTTCGGCTTCTGCAGTGGCACGGCTCCTCCTCGGTGAGGGGACTGACGTTGATGAAACAATGGCCACATCCATGACCATACCACGTCTCACGGTGCTAACCCTACCCTACATGCAGTCGTCACTGGCCTACAGGTGAACTTTACTCTCCAGCCGACTCACACCCTGACCTTGACCCGAACTCTGCAGCTGAGTTTTACACTCGCGCGTGAATTCTGACGCTAAGGAGCAGTGCCTCGGACCCTATAAGAAGGTGGTGAGGCCCTTCACCCAAGCTCCCATGCAGATTTATCCTATCCCTAACCGCACCCTGTAGCAGTGGCCATCCCCCGAGCGGAGTTCACAAGAAGTCACAAACAACAACACCTCCTCCTCCTCCCGCTCCAAGTGAAAGAACCGACAACGCAGGAGTTCCCTGGCTTCGATCCGCAGAGCTTAAGGGCCACAACCCCTGAACCGCATCTGCTGCACAAACCACGGCAGCAGCCGCCATACTTTGCTGATGATCAAAACACAGAAAATTCTGAACTCGCCGACAGCGTGCGGCGACTGTGGTCACCCCCAAGAAGAGTGCCACGGAACTTGTAACGACGACCCAGTGCCCGACTCACAAATACGAAGGAGGGATCGTCACAGCGATGCATCGCTCTGCTACTCCCGACACCATCATCTGGTTCAACCGCCTCCATGTAAAGTTACAGCTGCTGCTCCACATCAACCGCATGGAGAGGGGGGGGGAGTGTCTGTCTGTCTACATGGCAGTAGTGGCTCACCATAACGATACACGTGACAAATCAGACACGATACCTAACCCCATACACGAGCACAGAGCCACCTGTGCTCGTGTATGGCAGCGACACGCGTGGCCTGTACTCCAGCACTGCTGTGGAGTTCGCAGTGAGGGTTGGTGGGTCGCACAAAGATGTTGCGCAACTCCCCGTGGGCGTCGGGGAGGAGCCACGCTCTGGCTCCGTCTGTCCCATCAGTGCGGGATAGCGTGTTGCGCCCTCGCACGTGTCGGCTTTCTCCACGCTTGTATGAACATTCATCAATTGGCTAAAACGTCAAATTATGAGCAATAAACTTGGCTTGAACTAAACTTTTGTTTCATTCCCCAGGCAAGGCCCACTGAGCTATGGATCTTTTTTGGAAGCGACCTGGCCACAAATGCGAACTCAACGAAGCGGCTTACCATGTGGAATTTTAGAACAGCCAAATACTCTAAGCGCGCGTTTCTTACTGTGCAGGGAAAACCCGGAGAACCATCCACGCGCGAGAGTCACGCAAACTCCACATACGCAGCAGTAGGCGTCAGGGTGGGGATCGAACCCACGACCTCCTGCATGCGCCGCGAAGGAGTTAACATCTCCCAGCCACCGCCGGTGGTTTGCCGAGGCGCTCAACCAACAAGAGGACGACTCAACACGTGTCCACAACTCGCGGCATTTTAGACAACGGCTCTCATTCACGGCGCGCGCTGCGAGCCCTGAAACGTCGCCAGTTGTATATTTATTTTATTCAAGTCCACACTGTTATTACGGATGGGTTGCGTTATTTCTAATGTGATAGGACCACACATTTTGCTCGTGCGGTTCACCGTCTGGCTCGACCCCACGTGGTTCCTTTACGATTGTGAAATGCGATTCGTATGCATGGGGACGCTTCGTACAAAACTAGAAACGAGAATGAGCTTAGGCTGGCCCCAACCCTTGACCCTAATGCTGAAAATAGCCTGAAACCCCGAACACTTAACGAGCAAAGACATCAAGCCATGACCAATCGACTGCTGGATGACGGTTTTCCCAATTAGCCACCACCATCGCTCACGATCCTGCCATGCGAAATTCCGCGCTCGGCACCTGCACAGGAGGAGATTTAATCGCTCCATCTCCTGGGCGGACGTTATCTCTCTGGCGTGTCCCATTGCTTGGCTGCCACTTGGCCATCACCATTGACTCTCGTCCATCAACGCCAACTCCCAGCCCTCGATGTACCATCACAGGGCGAACAGTGCTGCAGTCACGGCTGCTGCCTCAACCGGCCCATCATCGCTGCGGGGTCGATAAATCGAGGGTCACTTTTTGGGGAAGACCAGCAGCGGTTGTCCCATAATAGATTTCCCTCTGCCATAAGAATGTGGAATTACCACGATTGACTCAGGGCTGTCTGTAAACAAGATGTGAGCAAAAACGTGAATCCCAATTAGATCTAACCTTTTAGATCTAACCTCGTCTAAACTCTAACCTCCATTAAAGCAGAAATGATCCCGATGCCAACTCGAACCTGATCTATACTGTACCACTTCCCTCACACCCACACCCACCACCACCATTCACGAACAACTTCCCTTACACCCACACACCCACCACCACCACCACCGCACTCCCCACACCCTCACCCACCACCACCACCATTCACGAACAACTTCCCCCACACCCACACACCACCATCACCACCATCACCACCATCACCGCACTCCCCACACCCTCACCCACCACCACCACCACCATTCACGAACAACTTCCCCCACACCCACACACCAACACCACCACCATCACCGCACACCCCACACCCTCCCCCACCACCATTCACGAACAACTTCCCCCACACCCACACACCACCATCACCACCATCACCGCACTCCCCACACCCTCACCCACCACCACCACCACCACCATTCACGAACAACTTCCCCCACACCCACACACCAACACCACCACCATCACCGCACACCCCACACCCTCACCCACCACCATTCACGAACAACTTCCCCCACACCCACACACCACCATCACCACCATCACCACCATCACCGCACTCCCCACACCCTCACCCACCACCACCACCATTCACGAACAACTTCCCCCACACCCACACACCACCATCATCACCGCACTCCCCACACCCTCACCCACCACCACCACCACCATTCACGAACAACTTCCCCCACACCCACACACCACCATCATCACCGCACTCCCCACACCCTCACCCACCACCACCACCATTCACGAACAACTTCCCCCACACCCACACACCACCATCATCACCGCACTCCCCACACCCTCACCCACCACCACCACCATTCACGAACAACTTCCCCCACACCCACACACCACCATCATCACCGCACTCCCCACACCCTCACCCACCACCACCACCATTCACGAACAACTTCCCCCACACCCACACACCACCACCACCATCATTATCACCGCCCTCCCCACGCCCTCCTCCCTGTTCGCCACCATCACAGGTGAGGCTGGTGATGTCACCAAGTGTACCACCAGGTGATGAGTGCGACCAAGAACAACACACAACTCAAGAGACAGAGATACCACTACGACTGAGACACAGAGACACATACTATTAGAGACCGATACTATTAGAGACCGATACTATTAGAGACAGATACTATTAGAGACAGATACTATTATAGACACATACTATTAGAGACCGATACTATTAGAGACCGATACTATTAGAGACCGATACTATTAGAGACAGATACTATTAGAGACAGATACTATTAGAGACAGATACTATTAGAGACAGATACTATTAGAGACCGATACTATTAGAGACAGATACTATTAGAGACCGATACGATTAGAGACAGATACTATTAGAGACACATACTATTATATCAAACGAAGTCTCCCCCGTGTCCCTCCATCATCTCGTCTCACACCGCGCGTCCGTGTCCCCGCGTCTACCACCGCCTCACGCGATGTCTCCCCCGTGTCCCCCCCCTTGTCCCCCCCCCCCCGTGTTCACCACCTGTGCCCCCCCCCCCGTGTCCACCACCGTTGTCTCTCGCACGGTCTCCACGCGTCTCACTCAAAATGCGCCTCCTCGTGTCTCCCTCTGTCTCCCCTGTGTCCCTCTGTCTCACCTGTGTCCCCGTGTGTCCCTCTGTCTCCCCCGTGTCCCCGTGTCTCTCTGTCTCCACGTGTCTCCCTCTGTCTCCCCCGTGTCTCCCCCGTGTCTCCCTCTGTCTCCCCTGTGTCCCCGTGTCTCCCTCTGTCTCCCCTGTGTCCCCGTGTCTCCCCTGTGTCCCCGTGTCTCCCTCTGTCTCCACGTGTCTCCCTCTGTCTCCCCCGTGTCCCCGTGTCTCCCCCGTGTCTCCCTCTGTCTCCCCTGTGTCCCCGTGTCTTCCTCTGTCTCCCCTGTGTCCCCGTGTCTTCCTCTGTCTCCCCTGTGTCCCCGTGTCTCCCTCTGTCCTGCGCGTCCCCGGGTCTCGCACCTCGGCAGTAGAGGAGGAGGATGAGGAGGAGGAAGAGGTGGGAGCCGAAGAAGAGGCGAAGGCGGGAGGCGCCATGGAGACAGGAGCACCGCGTCCCCGCCATCGTCGTCCACACCGCGCAACGCGAGCAGCACAGACGCTCAACTCCACCCGACTCCACCCCCTCGGTCTCAACTCTACCCCTCGATCTCAACTCCACCCCCTCGGTCTCAACTCCACCCCCTCGGTCTCAACTCCACCCCCTCGATCTCAACTCCACCTCCTGGATATCAACTCCGCCCAGTGTCTCAGCTCCACCCACAGTGTCTCAACTCCACCCACAGTGTCTCAACTCCGCCCACATTGTCTCAACTCCGCCCACATTGTCTCAACTCCGCCCACAATGTCTCAACTCCGCCCACATTGTCTCAACTCCGCCCACATTGTCTCAACTCCGCCCACATTGTCTCAACTCCGCCCACATTGTCTCAACTCCGCCCACAGTGTCTCAACTCCGCCCACATTGTCTCAACTCCGCCCACAATGTCTCAACTCCGCCCACAATGTCTCAACTCCGCCCACAGTGTCTCAACTCCGCTCACAATGTCTCAACTCCGCCCACAATGTCTCAACTCCGCCCACAATGTCTCAACTCCACCCACAGTGTCTCAACTCCGCCCACATTGTCTCAACTCCACCCACATTGTCTCAACTCCGCCCACATTGTCTCAACTCCGCCCACATTGTCTCAACTCCGCCCACACAGTCTCAACTCCGCCCACATTGTCTCAACTCCGCCCACATTGTCTCAACTCCGCCCACAGTGTCTCAACTCCGCCCACATTGTCTCAACTCCGCCCACAGTGTCTCAACTCCGCCCACATTGTCTCAACTCCGCCCACAATGTCTCAACTCCGCCCACATTGTCTCAACTCCGCCCACATTGTCTCAACTCCGCCCACAGTGTCTCAACTCCACCCACATTGTCTCAACTCCGCCCACATTGTCTCAACTCCGCCCACATTGTCTCAACTCCGCCCACAATGTCTCAACTCCGCCCACAATGTCTCAACTCCGCCCACAGTGTCTCAACTCCGCCCACAGTGTCTCAACTCCGCCCACAATGTCTCAACTCCGCCCACATTGTCTCAACTCCACCCACAGTGTCTCAACTCCGCCCACAATGTCTCAACTCCGCCCACAGTGTCTCAACTCCGCCCACAGTGTCTCAACTCCGCCCACAGTGTCTGAACTCCGCCCACAGTGTCTCAACTCCGCCCACAATGTCTCAACTCCGCCCACAGTGTCTCAACTCCGCCCACAGTGTCTCAACTCCGCCCACAGTGTCTCAACTCCGCCCACATTGTCTCAACTCCGCCCACATTGTCTCAACTCCACCCACAGTGTCTCAACTCCGCCCACAATGTCTCAACTCCGCCCACAGTGTCTCAACTCCGCCCACAGTGTCTCAACTCCGCCCACAGTGTCTCAACTCCGCCCACAATGTCTCAACTCCGCCCACATTGTCTCAACTCCGCCCACAGTGTCTCAACTCCGCCCACATTGTCTCAACTCCGCCCACAGTGTCTCAACTCCGCCCACAGTGTCTCACATGAGCATAGTACTAGTATATCAGGTGAGGTGTGTACCATCAGCACTATGGAAACAAAGGCGGCCAGCCGGTAGCGCGCTGCGCTACAAACGCGACGACCCAGGTTCGATTCCCGCTCACGGCCAACCAGTGACGATTATTTGAACCGGTCCTGGGCCTCCCCTAGGTCGACTGAACCTCACATGAGTAGCTGGTGCGATGTGTAAACATCGCCACTAGGGAGACAAAGGCGACCGGGCGTGGTGTTGGCCACCCACACCTCGTGTGCTGTGGCCGCCTTCATAGGTGCTCGCTAACAGCACTTGCCCCAGCAGTCTGTTAAGGCTATACGGGGGATCTTTGTGTATATATATGTATCCCTCTACCTCTATCTGTATCTTTGTCCACTATATGTCTGCGTGCTGATGAAGCAGCTGGTCCCGCGCTCCGTCAGCTGCTCGACTCGATCCTTCAGGGGCCGCCACGCACGCCCAGCCCGTCACGGCGCCACTTTCACCGCGCCTGACCCTGACCCGAACCCCCCCACTCAACTCGTGGCCCAGGCACATCAGTGGGAAGCTGCATTCAAGCGTGACCCGGGTCTCCCCTAAGTCGACCCAGCCTAAAACAAGCACCCAGTGACAGTGTGGACATCACTGCAGAGACACTGCGGCCTGATTTAGACACGACTCTTTCATGGCTGAGGTGGCCGGGTCGCTCAGAGGTCACGGTGCTGAGCTAGCATCGGTGAGGCCACTGCCTGTGATGTATACCAATTGTTTTTGTATCTATAGAAAACTAATCGAATGATTAGTTGGTTATGCAAATGGCATCACAATTGCCGAGGCCAAGCTGGCAGGCTGCCACGCGGTGAGGCGACTCCAACTCTGCGGCTCCCCACGATTTTCGATGTCTTCAGCCAAGTGTCGCCACCAATGACTGCACGCAAAAAAAGCATTACACTCAATTTGGTTCTGCACTTTGTTCGCTAAACTCCAGCTCCGATAATTAAAAATAGCGGAATGACTGTCGCGCAGCAAACATTCCTCACGGTGACGGAGCGGGTGGGGAAGTGCTGCCCGCTCTGTGTGTGTGTGGAGCAGAGCGTCACGTGAAGAAGGAATCTGAGAGGTCGCTTCTGTGATATCAACTTCCGCGGGCCGTTCTTGAACCAAAGCGTTGCCACTCGCTCTGCGAGATTTCCCACTGGATTCGCGCTAATTCGATTAGTCGGAACACCCGACGCAGTCTGTTTGTATTGTACCAGAGCGCGCTGCGTGGGGCAGTCCTCTTCGTGGGGCAGTCCTCTTCGTGTTGCTGCTTCCCATGCGCAGCGAGGGCTCCGCGACTGCTGCTCGTTGCTCTTTCACGGCACCGGGATGTTTTGGCAGCTCGCCTGTTGCTGGAACGTCAACACTTTTGCCTTAAATAAAATGTCCACTTCTCTTCGTTTGTACTCGTGCCGAGCTGGCCATTATGAAACAGCGGTGAACTGTTGTTGTCGATGTTGTTGTTGTTGTATTCTCCCGTGTTGATCTTGGCTGCCCAGTGGAGTCTGTCGCCTACCTCGAGCGCGCCCCGCCGCGTTGCATCTCAGGAGCTCAGCTGTGTGTGTGGACGACGGGAGACTGCGAGGGTTATGCCACGTGGTGCTGTAGCCTGAGGCTGCGAGGTGGCCAGTACATTTCAGCACAGCAGGCCACGGATTGAGTCAGTGTGGATTGAATATATCTGTGCAGAGCCTTGGGTGTCAACCCTCGTATGCGTTGGGGTGTTCGCCGGATTCTCTAGTTTGATCACCGGCGGCTTGCCCGATTTACAATCCACGTCTCAGCCGACTCCTGTGAAGCTGGATCCGGTTACCAGTTCTTGCTGGGGGAAAATAACCCCATCACATTAAATTTAGTTCTGCGATTAATTCGGCTCCGTTCCGGCTGAGAGAATGAAAACTATCCTTTTGACTGCCACGCTCCCGAACATTAACTCAATGGCCAGGCGGGTGGGAAAGTGCTGCCCCCTTCTGTGCACGTGTGAAGAATCTCAGAGGTAACTCTGTGATATCCATTTCCGGGGGCCGTTCTCCAACACGAATAGCCGTACTGTTCTGCGAGTTCCGAATGGATTCTTCAGAGTGAAATTGGGGTATATTTACGTAACGGGGAGCCTAAGAGAATGACGGAGCATTGTGATGGTGAATGTAGCGCCTCTAATGACTGGAGGGGGTCACACGAACCAATTAAGCCCATGCCAATCTCCATGGCGACATCAACAGAGGGGCGCAGTTGGATGCCATTAATTCCCACGCCATTGCGGCGACGCCAAATCGCATCACAGTGAGTCGGAGAGGGCTTAGGGTGTCACGTGATCACGAGGTGAGTGGCTCAGGGGCAGCTGCCAGCAAGGATTATAGCTGATAATACGGTCAACTTGCAAATCAAACCACAGAACCGGCCATTCACCCATTGGATTAAGCAGCAACGCAGCACATTCATCCAGAGCCCCCGTTAAGCAACAGCCGATAGTGTTAACTGTATGTTTGTATGTTGAACTCCTTTCGCACCACCGTACGTAGCCAATCGTGCGAATTGGAGGTGCGGGGGAATGACAACTAAACACAAAAAGCAGCTCTAAATAAATGAGTTTTCAATCACAAGTGATGTGGGGGCCGACGTCCACCCCAGCGCCCTCGCTGGGCAGGTGGGGCGCGACGTCCGCCCCTTCCCCTCCTTCCTCCACCGCGTCGATCGGCTCCCGCCGCCCCCCCCCCCCCGCGCTAGCGCCCTCTGGGGGCCATGGCTAAACTGCCGGCTCACCGCCGCACGGATGAGCCCGCTTGCCTGTGCACGCCGCAGCCACGCGGCGCACTGCTGCACGACCGCGCCCCACACCTGCGGGCGATTATCTCCGAGCACGTGTCGGACTTGGGGAGATCGTTTTATTCCAACAATTTTGATGTTATCCGATTTGTGGCGCAATTGAACCGGCAATCGGTGACAGGCAATTGGATGTCCTATCTTTGCATCCAGCCCATTATCAAAATCACCCAGAAAACCACAAACACAACCACCAAGCATATTCCATAAACCCGCGGTGGCGAGATTGCCCAGGGGTACCGCCGTTCGCCGCTTGTTGCAGAGGTTCGCGGCTGAACTCCGACAGACCGTCCTCGTTATTCCTGCGCTGTGTACTCACCGTAATTATTGCACACTGTCCGATTCACTCACAGCAGATGTTAAAGATCCTGTGGCGCCGTTCCAAACGAGAGGCGATTGTGTCGGCGTCACAGTCCAAACCTAAAAACTTACACCGTGAATCCCTCAGTTTGAATCACACACAGCAGCAATCATCTCCCCCTAGTGGCAGACTGATGCCCGCTCGCAGGCCAGGTTTCGAGTTACCTTGTTCCGCACAGGGACAGCTGTTACTGGGGGTGCCCTTTCAAATGTGTTGAGATGAGATGCAAGTCGCTTAGTGTGTGCAGGGCGCTCCGTGACGCCCCGACGTAAAGGAGGAGGGGGGGGCTCTAATCAAACTCAAATCGTCTTTATTACCACACTTCGCTTCTGTTTTTGACTTTTATTAGGAAGGTTACAAATCTACACAAAAACAAAGACGCGTAACTTGATAACGTTTTACACGCGTAGTTGTGTGCGCGTGCTGGTGACACGGCTCGGAAGAATGAGAATTCCGTGAACGGGTTTTAAAAAACAAATCTATTCTTTGGTTCTTTCGATAAAGTCACGTAGATAAAAAAAAGTTAATACAATTTTTATTCAATTTACTTTTTCTATCTACGTGACTTTACCGAAAGAATCAAAGAATATGAATTCCTGCAGTCAAGAAAGTTTTAAGTTAAAATTTAACAAATCTACTCTGGGAAAAATCTTGCAACGTTGACTCAGAGCGCTACTCCCACCTGCGGTGGGGGGATGGGAGCCAGCTCAGAACAATCAAAAACAAACGTAGACAAAGTCAAAGAGTGACATTAACAGAGTAACATTAACAACATGCACAGAAGGTGATGACATTGCAGCCACAGCATTAGTCCTTCCCAGCATCTTCAGGGGATTAATTTCAGCCTGGTTCTGCCTGGGTTGCTCGACCCGTAAACTTTTTAAGCTCCTGGCACAGCACATCGCTTTAGCTCTGGTCCACTAATCACGCCCCCATTCCAGTCGGGAAAAAGATTCTGAGAAACACAAGCCCTGGGCATCACCATAGCCATCTTTAACTCTGAACAATTATTCCTGCTCTACGGAGCACAACGCAAGCCCAAACTGGAATCCTGTCACCACGTCTGGGGCGGAGCACCCGGTTCCTACCTCACGGCGTCCTGGAGAATTACACGCAAAGAGCAATCGGTGCGACCGATGATCCAGAGCTCACAGATTAATTCCAATTACTCGCTCTCCTACGGCGAATTTCCTCCTTGTCACTCTTCCATCGCTACTACCGTGAGTGAGGACTCGGTCTGCCAGCTGGTTTGGTTTCATCTCACCCGCGCTCTGGGGGTGAGCCACACTGCGGGTCACCTCACTTCTCTCTCTCCGGTTCTTCCCTCACGCGGCTCCACTCTGAAATCCCCTCCTCCCGTCATCGTCTCTTCCCCCCCCAAATACTTACAACCCAGCTTAAATCAAGAGAAGCATTCACTCTCATTTACTACACCTTCGGTTTTATCATAATTATGAATCATCAGTAGCATATAGCCATTGTTGCCTCCTGCTGCCTTGTTTAGAAATAAAAACAGGCACAATTTGGCGAGAAATTACGGCTCAACGAAGTGGCTTATCACGTGGAAATTTATAGTAACCAACTACGATAAATGCATTTTTCTGTGGAGGGAAAAACCGGAGAACCCAGAGAAAAATCCATGCCACCACGGGGAGAACATGCAAACTCCAAATATATAGCAGTTGTCAGGGTTGGAATCAAACTCACGACCTCCTGCATACCAGGCGAGGTATTTAACATCTGGCCACCACGGCACCCCAAAGCTGAGTGCATTACACACACAGTGTGGTGATGTCACATGAGGCATGCTTGGAGGACTGAGCCACTATTCCCAATCTGGTCTTTTTCCCACCTTGCAATTTCACTTTGCGAGTAGCGTTACAACCTTTGCTTGTGTCCAGTTCGCACGCAAGCACATCTCTGACGAGTTGCTCATAATTCACAAAAAGCATTTGCATTGGTTCACACGAACGTTAAATGTTCATTATTTATTCCGCCGGGTAAGCCACACCGGTCGAGTCTCACCGCTCTTTTTGAGGATGGTCCTGCTACAATCGAGCACGTCAGGCCAACACCAGTGGCAATGCCATGTTTTAAACTATGGGAGAAAACCGCAGAACCCGGAGTGTGAGGAAACCTATGTCAGAACAGGCGGAGAAGATGCAAACTCCACACAGGAAGGTGCCCAAGTCGGGAATGGAACCCAGGCCCCTTTTTGCCATGAGGCGTGAGCGTTGCTACTGCCCCACCGAGCTGCCCAACTAACAGAAAACTCCCCGAGCCGTCCAAAGTTGCTGCCCGGCCGCCGTTGGCCACCACCTTGCGTCTCCGCCGTCTGCTCGAATCTCCACCGTCACTTCCGTTTTTTTTTTAAATCTGACCTTGAAAGTCAGGGTTGCGCCAACTCTTTTCGGGCGAAAAGTCACCCAAACGAACCTAAAATATGCAGTTAATCTCGCAAGATAGGAATCTATGAAGTCATCGCGCACGTCACCGCTAAGCCATTTACCAAGTGTCACACGCAGCGGACTGCTACAGGATTCTTAATACTTGTGGAATCGTTCCTACATATGCACAATGTCCTCTTCCCAGAAAGTTGCTACATTTGTTGTTGCTTTGACAAGTCTCGTCACTCGAGAAATCCAAAACATCAACTAAAGTCGAGTGAAAAAAAATCTCCGAGTTCATAACATTGCCTTCAGGCGACGACGGGAAGGAGAGCGGAACTGGGCATCCCTGGGTGACTTCTTGACCCCAGAGGTCGACATGAGGTCATGGCGAGGTCAGGGTCGGCGAGGTCGGGGTCGGCGAGGTCGGGGTGGAGGTGGGGGTCGGCTTACTCACGATGTCGTACAGGTGACCCTTCAGCTTCAGGAAGTGCCTCTTGAACTCTAGCCCGTCACCCTGATCCCACACACACAGAGCCACACAAAGACAAAGACCTCCGGTGTAGCCTTTAACACTGTTGAGGCGAGTGCTGTTAGGGAGCCCATGTTAAGGCCAGAACGGTGCATGAGACGGTGGTGGCCAGCACCACGCCCGGCCGCATTTGTCTCCCCACTGTTGATGTTTGTACACCGCAACAGGTACGTAATTAAGGATGAGTCAACCTAGGGGGAGACCAGGATCGTTTATGAGATTACTCACCACTGATGTTAGCAGTGGCAGGGAATCCAACTCAGTTCACTGGGTTCATAGCAGTGTGCTAACCACTGTTCTCCATACACGCACAGGCGGTCCACCGACTTTCAATAAAATTGGATTGACAAAGCGTACGAACACGATCACATATCTCGACCGCCTACACACTGCGTCGAGCGGGGGTCATGCGTTAACGGACGACACGATGACCGACAGGCGGATGCGGAGGGAGGAAAGGATAGTGGATGACGGGGAGAGATGAAGGGTCGGGAGCGATGGCAGGCGTAGTCACAGCCAAAGGGTGATAACGATGTTATTTATGTTCAAGGAAAAGCCTCTCTGAAATGGGGCATTTGGACAACTGTTTTAAGGAGTGGTTTGCGTACACTCGTAAACCGTAGCCGCCAAAGCAAACCCACACATTCGAGGGGTCCGCGCTCAAAGCTCCGCACAGATGGGCTCAAAACCCGCTCGCTGAGCTCACATCACATGGCTTCCTCACAGTCTAGCGGGTGGTGTGGGAGCCTCAGCAATCTCTGCGGAGAGCCTCAGCCTCGGCACGTTGTGCAAGGCATGCGCAAACATCCCCATGGACCCCTATTTACGACCCCGTGACCCTGACCTTTGATAGGCGGAAGTCAAGCAGGAGCCGTCCATCCATCTCTAGGAAGGTAACCTTGAATATTAGTTTGTTGTTGCGTCGGTCGAGGGTCGACAGGGTCACCTGCACGCACATGGGGACACACGATCACCACGCGCGATCCGATTGCACACACAATTACAAGCGGCACAAGGACAACGATCCCTCCCCGCCTTCCCCTCCCCACCCTCACTGCCTACGCAGGCTCTTGGGGAAAGTGAGTGCTGTTAGCGAGCGCCCATTAAGGTAGTGTCAGAATTCGGAATGGGGCCCGATCGCGAATCCAGCAGAAGCATCGGCGGCACTTGTGGAAGAATTCGTTTCAAATAAACTGCAGGTGTTGCACCACACCCCACCACCTTTGCACATCGTACCAGGGTACTTATTTAAGGAAAGTTGACTTCGGAAAGGCCCAGTATCGATTCAGATAATTTCCACTCATGTTAACAGTGGTCAGGAATCAAACTCGGGTGGTCAGGTTGGTAGTGCAGCGCATTAACCAACGCACTAATCACTCCCCCATACAATTATACACACATGCACGTACCAGCAGATATACACACCGATAACAAAAATAGAGGAATGCACGCACAGACAAATGCATGCAACATCCAGTGCCCCATAATAATTATACGTTTAATAATTAATACAATTGGTATTCGTTCCATTCTTATAGTGAAAGGCTCTGCAGAGTAGGGAGTGCGAGGAAATGTGTCAACATTGGACCGAGATGTCGCCAGCACCCACGGTCTACTCTTCATGACCGTTGTCACAGGGTCCTAATCGTCCACCGCACAACGAGCGGCGAGTGCCCTGCCGCTGGGCCGCGCGTCGCCACCGTGGCAGCGCGCTCGGGGAGGGCTCTGGGAGCAAAGCCAGCCGCTGCATTAGACCAGGGTAGAGTGACTCGCCTAATGAATGTTTAAACCTTGGGGCGATTGAGTGGGACCCGGGTGCCCGGTTACTGCGTGGGACGGAGGGAGGGAAATGGAGGCTGTGAGGCAGCTGAGCCTCCTTCATGCCTCTCAAGGCCAAGGGCAGTGGGGCGACTGGGTGACTCGGAGATCAGCATGCTCAGCCGGCGCCGCAGAGACCCTGGATTCCTGTCCAGGTTTCAGCTGCCCGTGGTGAAGCGAATTCCTCCAGCGTGGCGAGTTGATGGGCTCCGCCCGGGGTCGCCAATGACTTACGCACAGCCATGGACTCACATAGAGACCCACAGGCATACAGAGACCTGTCGACTTACATAGACTGGGTTATAAGGAAACAGAGTAGCAGGTTGATTGGTCTCTGCCAATGGATGCACCCAAAAATTGGCATTTATTAAGAATTCAAATATAAATTTGATGGTCATGCGACGAACATTACTCTCATATGGCAGTACGGGTGAGAAAGCGCTGCCCTCTGCTGTGTGTGTGGACCAGAGGTCACATGAAGGGACCTCAGAGGTAGCTCGTGACATCTACTTCGGCAGGCCGTTTTCCAACAGGAAGAGTTGCACTGCACTGCGAGATCCTAATGGCTTCTCCGGATGGTTTCTGTGCAATGCCTGCGTCTATGGTCCCTTCTTTTACCAACCCACACTCCAACAACAATTAGAAATAATGTAGCATATTTGATGTTCGTGGCATTCTGATAGCGCAAGGCTATCAGGAAGGTAGGCGCTGCTGTGTGTCACACAGTCTGCAGGAATTTCCAAGAGAGGGGTGTTATTATTTTTTATTCCGCTTGTTTACCCAGGAAAGCCTCACCGATTCTCTTGACTCTTTCTTGGATGGGTCTTGCCAAATTTTAACAGTAGAGGGTGCGATGATTGCCATGTGTCATCCCAATTGAGTAATTTGCAGTGTAATTTTCAAATGTGAAACCAGCAGACAGCAGCCTACTCTTTTCGAATGGCGTCATGAAATCTTTAATTTCCACTGTAAAGCAGAAGATGTATGTATGTTGAACTTCTTGTGCACCGTACGTAGTCAACCCTGCTAATTACACGGTCAACACCCACTGCAGTCATAACCAGGGCTGCCTGCCGTGTTCAAACCGCAAACCTAAACAGTCTTAAGCTGCTCGTCCTTGTCAAAGCTGCTTAGCTCAGTGGCTCTCGCCAGCCAAGATAATAAAGCCCAATAGAGTCCGAGTCTCTGCTGTAACGAGCAGCGAATGCACCACCATTGGGCCATGCCACCGCGCCGACGCCATCGCGCTCCGCGTCTCTCGAGGCACGGAGCGAGAAACATTTCCGCCTTTCACGAGGAGGGGGTGGGGCAGCCTTTTGATGACCTTGGACTGTTGCTCGTTCCCACAAGCGGTGCCGTGAAGCTGTGACCGAGCCCTTCGTTATCAGGACGAGCGAAACGGAGCGTGACCGTGGGAGCAGAGCTCGCAAGCGAAGGCTCGCCTCGCCGCTCACGCGCTCCAGAAACGTGATGACAGCACGAGCTGCCAGCCACTCACGAGTCTGCTTCATGCGTGCTCGTCGCGTGCACGCGCTTACGTGCGTGTGAACGCGTGACCTCTGTGGAGGTTCGTGAAGGATGCTACTGGGCAGTTGGAGGCAGTTGCCCTCCAACAACAACGGAGGGCGGAGCGATGCTCACGAGCGGAGCACCAGGCGACTAAAACACAGGAAGTTGGCACAGTCGGGGGAACAGGTGGTGCATCTACCAGTCATCTCAGTCAACCCATGGCACCTCGGTCTGTCCCATGACCCCCTACCAGCAAGCCTTCCACACTTCACGTCGCCTCAAGCTGCACGTAGCTTGGCACATACACCACTGTGAAGTCACCGGCACTTAATGACGAAAGGCAGTTGTGGTTCTTGTGCGAGTGTGCGCACCGCACCACACACACGCACGCACGCACGCACACACTCACACCCGGACGCACCTGCGTGGGGCAGGTCTGGCGGTAGGAGAGCCCGTGGCCTTCGCACACCTCGCTCAGGCGTGACCGCACCTCCTCGGCCGCACCACGCACAAAGAAGCGCGTCATGCGCTTCACGAGTCTTAGCCAGGGGTTCTGTGTGGGGACAATGGACGCGTGTACACACACAAAAAAGACACACGGACAGACACGTGGTGAACATAGCGCAGTCATTTCACTAGACATGGTTGACTGATGATGTAGCACTTACCGAATCACTCTCTCACTGGCAGGAAATCGCCTCCTCATCACTCTTCTATTGCTACTATCGAGGTTACCATTCCAATGAACTTAACTCATTGATTTCGTCACGTGTGTGGAGGAGTCGGGCGACCATACATTGACCGCTTCGTCTGATCCACCACACGGTGTTCACCACCATTTCTGCAGATCACAGCAGCTCGCTCACCCACTCAGTCACCACATTGCGTGCCACAACTCTTCTCTTTCTGTTTCTTCCCTTGCATTGCTCCACTCCTTCTCCCAATGCTCTTACAATAATAACCTTGCTCGATCCAAAAAATGCGTTAGCTGCTAACAGTTACAACTTGATAGTGCTGCTGTTGTTGGCCATTTGGTGTCTGGGGTCCATGCTCGGATTCACCAATTCATTCACATACATTGTTCTGCTTTGTGTCTCTCTGACGTTTTGGGAAACCCTCAGATCGATTTATCCAGTTTTCTTTAACATGGGTTCCTAACAGCAACACAACCGTGCAGCCCCATTACACACAGGTGAACTGACAGAACAAATGCTCTGTAACACTTTCAACCTTCACTGGAAAGCTTGAAGAATATAATTGACTGCATAAAATTGGGACCTCTCAGATTACTGTAAGTAATGGGATCGCCAGAGGGGCCAATTGTTGAACGATGAATACAGAGCACGAACTTCTAGCATTTCTCAATATGATTCGGCACGAATAGCTGTGCTGGGTGGGGCACGTGCGCACGACAGGAGAGGGCCGATTGCCGAGACCGGCATTGGAGTGGTCTCCACGAGTCCGGCGGCCAAGAGGAAGAAAAGACCTAACACGGCAGCACATGGTCGGACACTGTCAGGGCAAATCTTGGGAGGTTGCCGCATGTCAACTGTGCAGCAGCAACTGCAGGATCTGGAGGAGGGTAGTGAGCGTTGGCAGTGAGGTGTGCTCGCATCGACGGCTTTGGCCAACATCTTGATCTTGATATACAGATGGTTACACCCGAAACGCAGAACCCTCAAACGTCCAATCACATAACCGAGCCCTTCTGTTCCACCTGACCCCCACTGCTTGTGTGCCTGTGGCTTTACCTGCGAGGACCCCGGTGTGGACTGCAATTGGCTGCTCAGAAGCATGTGATCAGGGTGGAGCGGTTGGGAGAAGCTGAGGCCCCCAAGAAGGGCGTTTATGGAGCTGCCCGTCGGCTGGGAGGGGGACGGATGGGTGAGGCGCGGCTCGGGCTGAGAAACGGAGTAGCGCACCCGCTCGTCGCTGCCGGGAGAGGGGAGACACGGTGAAGCGCGTGGCGTTAGTAGTCGGTGGCAAATTGTAAAAGTGCAGCACTGTACTTGCATCCCACCCCCCTTCCTCTTTATTGACAGGTTGAGTTATGTTATTAACTTGCGTATATTGTTTATAATCGACATGTCCCTCTGTGTAATTACACAGAGGGACATATCGATTTTATTTCACCAGCTTAGAACACACTGAGTTGACACAAGGGGGCAATGTGTACACTCACGGCAGGAGAACAATGCGAGTTATATGGGTCTGTGTAATTATGAAGGTCTAAATCTAAGGGCCAGTATATAAATGTACAGGTTTCCATATGAGTCTATGAGTGTCTGCATAAGTCTCAAGTGACCAGGGCTAAGCCCTGGTTTAATCACGGCTAGCCAACCCTGTACTCTTCCAGGGCCACATCTGTGGTGAATCCGGTGCGGGATGAGTGAATCACCCCCCCCCCCCCCCCCCCCCCCACGGAAGCTGGAGTCATTCGTCTGAGTGAATCATCGATCGTCTGGCGGCGTTAAGGGAGGTCAGGGAGGCGAGGCGCAGGGCAGTCCCGCTAGCACTAGATATTGACCGCATTAATATTCATAACATTATGGGCATAATTAAAACTTCTGCTCCTATAGCATTAACAGGCTTTAGGGGAAAGTGCTGCTAGTGAACACCTAGTAATGCCGGCATGGCACTCAAGGGAGTGATGTGGCCAGCAACATGCCTGGTGCCTTCGTCTCCCCAGTGCTGATGTTTACACACAGCACCAGGTACTCATTTAAGGCCGAGTCGACCTAAGGAAGGCTCAGCACTGGTTCATATATTTGTCACCATGTTGTCTGTCAGTGGGAATTGAACTAAGGTCACCGGGTTTGCAGAACAGTATGATAACCACTATACTACTGCTCCCCACTCACACACACACACGTTCTCACACTCACCTGGCGAGCGATCCTGGAGAGAGGTCAAACCCAGAGCAGATTCGCTTGGAGCCGAGTCCAGACTCCCCCGATTCCCTCCGCACACCTGCAACTGCACCGCGTCAAACCAAAATCTACTATCTCGTACCACGTCACGACACCTCCACCGTATCGCACATGGTAACGCACGTAAAACAAGGTGTCACACCACACCGATCCGTCAAGTGCCAAACCGCCACCCCGCTGCTGCTTTTTAACAGCTCAGCGATGCCTGAGGAAATATCCTTCCAGTGAGAGGCACTGTGGAGCCATGGCATTTCTCTGACACCCTGAATTTATACCGTACAAACACGCACATACACTCACCACCTCGCTTGAGGGTGTGGTTAAACCAGGAGTTTTGGCGGATTTCCGGGATTGTTGCGCGCTTCTCTGCGTCCGGTTCCAGGACCTTCCTGAGTAGAGCTGTGCACACGCACAGGCATATACACATAGGTACACGCACACACACACACATATACATGCAAAGACAAAGATCCCCCATATAACCTTAACAGACTGTTGGGGCAAGTGCTGTTAACGAGTACATATGAAGGCTGGAACAGCACACGAGGGGGAGTGGGTGGCCAGCACCACGCCCAGCCGCCGTTGTCTCCCCAGTGGCAGTGATTTTACACACCGCACCAGGTACTCACTTGAGGCTGAGTCGACCTAAAGAAGGCCCAGGACCTGTTAAAATAATCGTCACCAGTGTTGGCCGTTAGCGAGAATCGAACTCGGGTTTCCGGGTTCGTAGCACAGCGTGCCAACTTCTATACTACTGCTCCCCAGGTGCGCACGCACACACACACATACGTGTACAGACCGCCATGGCATACCCAAGGGCAGGGAGTCAATCTTCCTCCAGGGAGTCACGTGCAGCCTCCGCTGCCTCCAGTCCACAAACTCCATGCACGACATCGCTGGCTGATCCCACGGAAGCTCTGACAGGCAAAACACACCGCGCCAGCGAGCGACAGAGCGAGCAATCAACGAGACCCCATCACCCCAATACTCAATCCCTCTGCCCATTTCCAGCGCCGTCCCGGATCAATTTCATGATCACGCTCACCGTCTTCGACATCCTTCGTGGACTGGGCCCTGTCTACATCTCTCCTCTCACTCTACGATTGATAACAATCACGAGTCCTATTTATAACGTGCTCACAATTTGTGCAGCGAGTCACCAACACAAGCCAGGGGCGCATACACGCTCTCACAGACCCAGAGTCTCACGAGACTCTTGGTCTCCAACAAACTCACATAGACCCACAGATTCTTAGAGACCTATAGATTTTCAGAGATCCAGATTCTCACAGACCTAGACACTCAGACCCATACACTTCCTGTAGACTTACTCATCTCTGTGAAGTAGGGTCATTGCTCGAAACGTCACTTATTATATGTATTTTTAAGGCAGTATTGACAAAATTGTTGCGTTTTTTGTTACGTATGCACCACTGCCAATGCAGTATTAGCAAATCAAATAGGTGAATTCCATAGACTTGCAGAGAACCGCTACCAGGTGAGTGAGCGGTGAATCCGGTGCGGTGGTAGTGGTGCGAGTTGACACTCACCGCCAGCCAGCATGGCGGTGAGCACCACGCCGCACGCCCACACGTCGACCGGAGCCGCGCGGAATGTCGGGTCGGGCTGCAGAAGCTCGGGGGCCACGTATGGCAGCGTGCCGCACGTGCGGCTCAGGCGCCGCTCCCGCCCGTTGTGCCGGAACACCGTGGCCAGCCCAAAGTCCGAGATCTTCAGCTTGTCTGCGTTAGGGGAACGGGGTCATGGTGTTGTCTGTAGATAAGTGTTGTCCGAGGTCACGGTGGTGGCGTCTGTGTGGGATACTCCTCGAGTTTTCGTGGCGTCATTGCTCGTGGTATGGGGTGTGGTGTGGCGGTGTATGGGTCATGGTGTGGTCACTGTGTGCACTGTCACGCCGCACCATTTTCATCAAGGAGCAGATTCTCTGGTTTGATGTCACGGTGAGTGATGCCCAGGCTGTGTAAGTATTCCTGCATGTTCACACACACACACACAGAAGACAAAGATCCCCCATATAGCCTTAACAGACTAGCCTGAATAGACATAATCAACGTTTTTGGGTTTAGATCGCGTTATTTATAAATGTGTCGTAACCCTCCACCACCCGACACGGCCAATCAGTAAAAATGTGTCACGTTGACAAAGACAAATAGTTCACTGCTTTAGCCCACCGGTGTGTTGAAGCCACAACATTTACAATTTGAGTACGACGTTTCGCTGGTAATTGCATCCAGTATCATCGGGCAATTCGCCACCTATTAAGGTCAACACGACACACGAGCGGGTGGGTGGCCAATATCATGCCCGGCAGCCTTTGTTTCTCTAGTGCCGATGTTTACACACACGCACCAGTTACTCATATGAGGCGGAGTCGATATAGGAGAGGCTCAGGAGCAGTTTAGATCATCTTCAACAATGTTGATCATGAGAGGGAATTGAACTCGGATCACCGGGTTTGTAGCGCAGCACGCCAACCATTGCGCTACCGCTCACCACACATAAAAACAACCCTGTAGCCTTAACATACTGTTGGGGCAAGTGCTGTTAGCGAGCACCTATGAAGGCCAGCATGGCACACGACGAGGTGGGTGGCCAGCACCACGTCCGGCCGCCTTTGTCTCCACAGTGCCAATGTTTATGTATCTCACCAGGTACTCATTAAAGGCCGAGTCGACCTAGGGGAGGCCCCAGGACTAGTTCAGATAATCGTTACTGATGTTGGCCGTGAGCTGGAGTCGAACTTGGGTGCTGGGTTTGTAGTGCAGCGCACTAACCGCTGCATTACCACTCCCCACACTTAAACACGCACAAACATATGCGCGCATAAAGACAAGTGGCGGTAAATTCTCGCAGTAATGGTAAATGGTGGGTGTACTGTTGGGTTTGCTTCTGATAGTGCCCCGGTTTGTGTGTGCGTTGGCGAGTGTTGTGCCCCACTGGGCATGAATTGACGTACCACGCCGGCTAGCAGCTGCCGGAAAAATTTCTGAGCGTCGAACTCCGGCATGCCGACGTCCGGTTCTGTGAATAGAGACGAGGAAACACGACCGTATGTAAGGACCCAGCAAAGACAGCAGGGAGCGGGAGAGCATCCACGTGGAAGCATCTGGTAGAGGAGAGGAGGGTAGGAAGTGGAAGGCAGCTGTGAGGCAGAGCGGGGAAGAACGCGACCATACGGTGAACGTCTCCACGAAGACACTTCTAGAGCTGGGCATTGGTGGTGGTGACAGCGGTTTGGCGGTGATGGTGGAGGTAATGTTGGTGTTGGTGCCGGTTGTGACAGTAACAGTGGTGGTAATACTGATGGTGATGATGGTGGTGGTAACATTTGTGTTGGCGGTATTGCCGACGGCGGTTGTTGGTCATTGAGAGTAACAATCACGGTTGGTCGCAGCGATATTACCCCTCCGCTAACATCAGCATCATCGGCACCGCATCGGCCGCACCCCCCCCCACCTCTCACCGATGCGATCAAAGAGCTCCCCGCCGCTGCAGTACTCGAGGAAAATGTAGTGGATGTCGCCGTCCCGCCGCGTGCCGAAGAAGCGCACCACGTTGCTGTGGGTCAGCATGCTGTTGATGCAGATCTCCTTGCGCACCGTCTCGGGCCCCGCGGTCGCCGCCACGCGCCGGACGTCGATGATCTTCACCGCCACCGCCTCCTTTGTGGCGCGATTCACGGCCAGGCGCACCCTGTGTATGCACGTGCAAACACGTAATGGACGCACGTGCATGTACACGAGCGTGGGTTCAGCAACAGCAGCAAAGACAACGGCCCGGTACAGTATTATGGATAACTAGTAAAGCATAAGCACAGAAACAAACACAACAATGATGAATATAAAGATGATGATGGTCATGGTGATGATGGTTATGGTTCATGCCAATGGTGATGATTGTGAGGATGATGGTGATGATCATGTTGATGATTGTGATTACGGTGACAATAATGGAGATGATGGTGATTACAGCGTTAGTGATTATGGTGATAATGTCAATGGTGACGATGATGTTGAGGATTATAATGGTGATTAAGGTGTTAGTGATGGTGTTGACGATGGCAATATGTTCACGATTGTGATGACGGTGACAACCATGGTGGTGTTAGTGATGATATTGATGGTGGTGACATTGATGGTGGTTATGGTGATGAAGGTGATTATTTTGACGATGTTCACTATACTCATGAAGCTGATGATGGTGCTGTTGATGATGGTAAATGATGTTGATAGTGATAACGTACTCTCCATAAGCTCCTTCCCCGAGTGTCTGCACCAGGTCCCATCCCTCCACAAATGCTATCGCCATGCCTCCTACACCAACATTACACACAGACACGATCACCAAAATTACACACAGACACCATCACCAACATAACACCATCACGTTAAGGCAACGTGAAGTGTCAAATGCCCGCTGGCAGGTCACAGGGCAGACCCAGGTTCCATGGGTTGACTGAGATGACTGGCTGATACACCACCTGTGCCCCCTTCTGTGCCAACTTGCTGTGCTTTAGCCACCCGGTGCTCCGCTCGTTGTTGTGAGCATCGCTCCTCTCCCCTCCGTTGTTGCTGGAGGGCGACTGCCTTCAACTGCCCAGTAGCGTCCTTCACGAGCCGCCTCTACAGAGGCCGATCTTGACACCGCTGGTACCAGTCATCGGCAAGTCCACTCAGCTCCACGTCCTCCTGTACCACATCACTCCATCTCTTCTCTAGCCCGTGCCGCGCCCGTTTAGCTCCCTCGATCCGGCCGAACAAAAGCTGTTTGGGCATGCGGTGGCTGGGCATGCGGGCTACATGACCCAGCCAACGCAGCCTTGCCTGCCGGAGGAGCTCACCGATGGGACTTTGTCCAGATCTTTCAAGGATTTGTGAGCTCCTCACACAATCCAGCCTGCTGGTTAAACTCAGGATGGATCGTAGGCAGGCCAGCCTAAATGTTTCCAACCGGCGAAGATGCTCCATTAGGGGGGGTCCACGTTTCGCAAGTATAGATAAGAGAGGGAATGACTGTGGCCGAGAAGACCCGAAGCTTCGTGCGGAGCGACAGACCAGGCAGCTTCCACACAGCGTTACGCAACCGATGAAAAGATACTGCCGCTCGACTGATTCGGAGTGAGACCTCTGCTGTTAAACTTGGGCCGGTCATGACCACACTGCCCAGGTATAATGGTAAACTCTCCACTCTCTCTCCACTACTGTCCCATCACGAAACACCATCACCAACATAACATACAAATACACAACGTCGTGATTTTTATTTTATTAATTTTAATTTCATATTTTACCTACGTGACTTTACCGAAAGAACTAAGAGTATGAATCATTGCAGTCACGAAAGCTTCAAATCTAGAAATAACATACAAATACCATCACATGCAGACACACAACAAAACTAGCATCACTCTGATCATAAGATTAAAACAGACACACCCACTAACACCAAAAGACACAAACACACGTAAAACCACAAAACATAAACAACGATGCCAACACAACAAACCCCACAATAAACAAGCAGCGCAAACACCAACAATGAACACAGGGGCAGAGAGACACGAGCAGCAACCCAACCCTGAGCAGACTCGCAGACTCGATGCTCCTTCGGACTCCAGCCAGAGCCGCCGCCGAGTTGTCTCTCCGCGGAGACGCCGCGAGCTGTCGCGAAGACGCGAGACGGCGCTGCGTGATGGGAGACAGCGAGTGGGGGGCACGGCACCACAGCGAGTGGGGGGCACTGCACCACAGCGGCAGCTGCTGAGACGCAGCACGGACCGAGTATGGGGGAGACGCGTCGACCAAAGCCGAGTCTCACTCCTGTCCCCGTGGTGTGGACACAGCAGCAGCGGTGCAGACGGAGACTCGCGCTTTGTCCACGACCAGTGAAGAGACGGAGCCCGTTCCCGCCTGCTCGCCGCTCCCTCCCGGCCCCCCTCAGCCCCCCTCGGCCGTCTCCGCTGCCCGCTGCCCGCTCCGCGTCTCTGTCCCTCAGCTGCCCGCTCCGCGTTTCCCGCGTAAATTTCAGCCCTTAACGGTTGCGTCACGTGCCTCTTCTCGTGACGTCAGTTGTATGCAAATCTTTATCGGGATGACGTAATCCTAACGCTTCGAGTTTGTGAAGTGGTGCCGTGACATCATTCCTAAGTGTATGACGTCACTATTCGCTCCCCATTGATGGGTCCCCGTGAAATCACGATATAACACGATATCTATCACGATATCTCTCACGATATAACACGATATCTCTCACGATATGACACGATATCTCTCACGATATATCACGATATCTCTCACGATATGACACGATATCTCTCACGATATGACACGATATCTCTCACGATATGAGCTGCACGAGGATCGTATCCCCATATTTACACAATGTTGTGAAATCGCGCGATGTATATTTACGAAATGTCCAGAATTAAAGTGTCAAGTTTATTTTATTTAACCAGCTGAGAACTCACGAGACCGATGGGTCATCAAAATGACCAAATCAATATAAAATAAGCAAAGTAGCAAACATAAATGTGGACAAAACCAACCACGTCGTTGAAGTTTTCCGCGTTTCCCGCAGTCAGTTCTCATTTTCCTTCATTAGTGTTTTATTTTATTCTTATTCTTTTTACCTACGTGACTTTACCGAAAAGACCTAAGAGTACGACATGGACGTGTTGTTGAACTTGTTTGGAGCCGCACATCGCCACGCCAACCACGTCGCCCTGTGGCGTTGTTGTCGGAGGTGCCGAGTCGCCCATCGTGCAGCAGCACAAACACAAAGACCCCCCCCGGGGGACGTGGTCGCCTTGGCGGACTGGCGGGGCTCATCTTCTTGGTTCTTTCGGTAAAGTCACGGAAAATGGAAATAATAAAAAATAAAACAATACAATTATTCTCACGACGCTTCGGCCACAACGCAAGCAGCCGTCGACAGAGCTGTTCTTCACCTGAGGACGGCTGCTTGCGTTGTGGCCGAAACGTCGTGAGAATTATTTTATTGTTTTATTATTTTATTATTTCCCTTATACGTGACTTTACCGAAAGAACCAAGAAGATGAATCCCTGCAGTCACGAAAGCTTTAAAGCGAAACTGTTGGGGCTGTTAGCGAGCTCCTGTGAAGGTCGGGACGACACAGCACCACGCCCGGCCGCCTTTGTCTCCCTAAGTGGCGACGTTGACACACCGCACCAAGTACAGTGCTCAGTTGAGGCCGAGTCGACCTAGCGGAGTCTAAATACAAGTTCTGATTCTGGGAGGCTCAGATCCGAATCAGGCCGTGAGCGGGAATCGAACCCGGCGACTCGGGTTCGTAGCACAGCGCGCTCACCTCTGCACCATCAACAACAACAACCCCCATTCGCCACTAAGTGGCGCTTGTGCCAGGCTAGGTGCACGTTGAGGCCACGTGAAGTGTCGAACGCCCGCTGGCAGGAGGTGACGGGTCAGACCCAGCAGGTGCCACGGACCGACCGACCGACTGAGCTGAGTGGCCGGTGCGCCACCTGAGCCCCCCACCTGAGCCCCCCACCGTGCCAACTACAACACCGCCCCCCACACCAGCGGCGATTTTCAACACGCCGCGACCCGGATGACGTCATCGCGCGGTAATCGTCATGTAGCGCCGCGTGTGTAACGAAGACGCCATCACCATCGTGACGTCAGTGCGCGCGACGCTGACGTCACGAGGCAAAATGGTGGACCCCATGGAGGACCTGAAGCTGCGGGAGATGGAGGCGGAGATGGCGCTGTGAGTGTCCACCCTGCCCCCTCCCGTGTCTCCCGTGTCTCTCCCGTGTCTCCCGTGTCTCTCCCGTGTCTCCCGTGTCTCTCCCGTGTCCCCTCCCGTGTCTCCCGTGTCTCTCCCGTGTCCCCTCTCGTCTCCCTCCCGTGTCTCCCGTGTCTCCCGTGTCTCTCCCGTGTCCCCTCCCGTGTCTCTCCCGTGTCTCCCGTGTCCCCTCCCGTGTCTCCCGTGTCTCCCGTGTCCCCTCTCGTCTCCCTCCCGTGTCTCCTGTGTCTCTCCCGTGTCCTTCCCGTGTCTCTCCCGTGTCCCCTCCCGTGTCTCTCCCGTGTCCCCTCCCGTGTCTCCCGTGTCTCTCCCTTGTCCCCTCCCGTGTCTCTCCCGTGTCTCCCGTGTCTCTCCCGTGTTCCTCCCGTGTCCCCCCTGCCCCCGTGTCCCCTCCCGTGTCCCCCTCCCGCCCCCCGTGTTTCTTCCGTGTCCTCCCTGTCTCCAGTATTTCCCGTGTCCCCTCGTCTCCTCGGCTGTCCCGTGGAGTGAGAGGCTGCGTGAGTGAGTGAGAGGCTGCGTGCGTGAGTGAGTGAGAGGCTGCGTGAGTGAGTGAGAGGCTGCGTGAGTGAGTGAGAGGCTGCGTGAGTGAGTGAGAGGCTGCGTGAGTGAGTGAGAGGCTGCGTGAGTGAGTGAGAGGCTGTGTGAGTGAGTGAGAGGCTGCGTGAGTGAGTGAGAGGCTGCGTGAGTGAGTGAGAGGCTGCGTGAGTGAGTGAGAGGCTGCGTGAGTGAGTGAGAGGCTGCGTGAGTGAGTGAGAGGCTGCGTGAGTGAGTGAGAGGCTGCGTGAGTGAGTGAGAGGCTGCGTGAGTGAGTGAGAGGCTGCGTGAGTGAGTGAGTGAGAGGCTGCGTGAGTGGGTGAGAGGCTGCGTGAGTGGGTGAGAGGCTGCGTGAGTGAGTGAGAGGCTGCGTGAGTGGGTGAGAGGCTGCGTGAGTGGGTGAGAGGCTGCGTGAGTGGGTGAGAGGCTGCGTGAGTGGGTGAGAGGCTGCGTGAGTGGGTGAGAGGCTGCGTGAGTGAGTGAGAGGCTGCGTGAGTGGGTGAGAGGCTGCGTGAGTGGGTGAGAGGCTGCGTGAGTGAGTGAGAGGCTGCTGAGTGGGTGAGAGGCTGCGTGAGTGGGTGAGAGGCTGCGTGAGTGAGTGAGAGGCTGCGTGAGTGGGTGAGAGGCTGCGTGAGTGAGTGAGAGGCTGCGTGAGTGGGTGAGAGGCTGCGTGAGTGGGTGAGAGGCTGCGTGAGTGGGTGAGAGGCTGCGTGAGTGAGTGAGAGGCTGCGTGAGTGGGTGAGAGGCTGCGTGAGTGGGTGAGAGGCTGCGTGAGTGGGTGAGAGGCTGCGTGAGTGGGTGAGAGGCTGCGTGAGTGAGTGAGAGGCTGCGTGAGTGAGTGAGAGGCTGCGTGAGTGAGTGAGAGGCTGCGTGAGTGAGTGAGAGGCTGCGTGAGTGAGTGAGAGGCTGCGTGAGTGAGTGAGAGGCTGCGTGAGTGAGTGAGAGGCTGCGTGAGTGAGTGAGAGGCTGCGTGAGTGAGTGAGAGGCTGCGTGAGTGAGTGAGTGAGAGGCTGCGTGAGTGAGTGAGTGAGAGGCTGCGTGAGTGAGTGAGTGAGAGGCTGCGTGAGTGAGTGAGTGAGAGGCTGCGTGAGTGAGTGAGAGGCTGCGTGAGTGAGTGAGAGGCTGCGTGAGTGAGTGAGAGGCTGCGTGAGTGAGTGAGAGGCTGCGTGAGTGAGTGAGAGGCTGCGTGAGTGAGTGAGAGGCTGCGTGAGTGAGTGAGAGGCTGTGTGAGTGAGAGGCTGAGTGAGTGAGAGGCTGAGTGAGAGGCTGTGTGAGTGAGTGAGAATGAGAGGGTGGGGAGCGGTAGTGTAGCGGTTAGCATGCCGCTGTGCTGCCCACCCACCCCCTCGTGTGCCACAGTGCCGGCCTTCAGAGGTGCTCAGCACTTGCCCCCACAGTCTGTTCACGCTGCACGGAGGATCTTTGTCTTTGAGTCCAATTCCTGCTCAAGGCAAACACCAGTGACGAATATCTGAACCGGTCACTGGCCTCCTCTGTGTATTGAGCATTAAATAAGTACCTGGTGCCGTATTGAACATCAGCACTGGGGAGACAAAGGCGGCTGGGCCTGTTGCTGGCCACACCTGTAAGGATGTGAGGGGGATCTGTGAGCGTCTTCGTACGTGGCTGAATGTTCATGAAGCTCTCACATGGAAATCACGATTTGATGCTAAGCTGCTAATTCTTTCTAAGAACTTCCCTTTCAGTGGCATTTGACACGTGTCCTCGTCTGTTTACATGCCGAGTGCAATCATCACCCTGATTCCATTTGGATGTTTCTGCAGCGTAATTTTACCGTGAGCGATTTAAAAAAAGTAATTCGTCCTCGCTAGATTTCTTCTTAAATAGTTTTTGCTTGAATGTTGGCATATACGTGTGCACTCTTTTCGATTTCTGCTGTAATGCGGTTGTTTTTGTACAATTTCTACAATATTTGGTCGGTTTTTGCTCCGATTTCAATTTGCGTTTTGCCCATGCAGCTTTGAGCAGGAGGTGCTGGGCGGGACGCTAACCTCCCAAGGTCGCCCAGTCATCTCCTCCAACACGTATCAGCAGGTGAGAGACGAGCAGGCTCGGTCCACTGTCAGCTTCACTCCACTGAGGGTCACTTCCCCACCCGCGTTGCTAACTTTGGATTGTTAGCGTTGTCAATCACTGCCCACGTGTGTACGAACTAAGAGGCTAAGAGGCTCATGGAAGTCAATTCAGAAGCAGTTCTATGACGTCATCTTTCGAGGCTGTTCTCTTACACAATGTGGTCCACTGCTCGCTGCATGAGTTATGAATGGAAATTACATTCATGCCCTTATTACAATTGCATTGTAATTTTGAGTGTGGTTAATTTTGGTAATGTTGGTAATACTCGCGTGCACGCTCA